AGGAGAGATTAGAAATAGAGAGAATAAGAACAAATTGAGATTGCAAAGCTCACCCAACAGAAAGAAGGACCCAAGAATAAGAATGGATTCAGGGCCAGCAGACCCAAGCTGTCCAAATTTGATGAACAGAAAGATGATATGGGTGCTTTCCTGGGGAGATATAAAAGATTCACCAGGACAAAGGCAACTGGGCAGTCTGTTTCAGCCCACTTCTCACAGGAAAAGGCTTACAAGTGTATGCAGGCATAACATCAGAAGATGCCATGGACTATGAGAAGTTAAAAGTGGCCTTGCTGAAACTCTATAAACTTAGGAAAGTTTTCTTCGAAATTTCAGAGAAGTCAAACCTGACATTGGAGAAATTGTATATGTCTATGGCTATACTTCACAAGATGGACTGACATGGCCAAGTGTGACCATAATTTTGAGGGACTGGCAGATCTACTAATACGTTAGCAGTTCATGATCACATGCTCTATTGACATGTCACTGTTACTAAAGGAGAGAGCAAAGATGTGAAGGAGATGATCAAGCTGGTAAAACAATATATTGAAGCCCACAGAGGGATTATAACTGACAAGTACAAACATATCCAGTTAAAGTTGAAACCAAAGGTGACAGGAGGTTAACAGATAGAATGAAGAAGAAATGCTGTATTTGTTATAAAATGGGGCACACTGCAAAGGAGTGCAAGTCCATTACCAGTAAGCAACAGCAGAAATCTCAGCATAAAGCAGCTGGAGCTATTTACAAAGATGGTGCTGGTAAGAAACAAGAAAAGAGTGAGTAGCACCATGGATGCTATTGTCAGAAGAAACAATCAAGAAAACACATCAGATTCATCACAAGAAAGAAGTGCCATTTCCATGATTGATCAGTGTATGACTAATGGTCAGTTGAAGTTAACAAAGGATCAACAGTACCAGTAGAGATCAGGGCACATTACAAATATCAAGAGATGCCAACAAATCACAACATGCCAATAGGCAAAGGCTATATCGGGGACAAGAAATTGAAGGTCTTACGAGACACTGAAGGCAGTAGTGAGACTCAGTCTAGTATCTGATAACCAGATTACAGGCAAGGTGCACCTGTGTGTGCTAATTGATTGGGCAGTGTGAAAGTTTCCCATAGCATAAATAAAGGTGTATACTCCCTACTACATAGGAGACCTTGAGACCATGTGTATGAAGGCACCAATATACGACAAAAGTAAGATTGATGTGGCACTTGCAGTCACCACTAGAATTCAAGGGAAAAAGATAAAGCAAGACATCAAGCCCTTACAAGTACCAAAGAGTGGCATCCCAAATGTAGGTTTATGGGAACGGAAGCTCAGACGAATGACTCTTTTCTGCAGAAACTTCAGAACAGTGCCCAAGAGAAAGTCAAGCACAATACAAAAGCAAAAGAGACTGACATAACAGAGGACCAGAAAGGAGTACTGAACTGGTCCTATCAAAGCAGTTCTACTGGTGAAGCTAAACACATTTAAGGCAGTAAGAAGTACTTATGTAACAAGAAGGTCAAGGATCGACATTTTGAGGTCAGACAGAAGATTTTAGTTCTGCTACCCACAGCCAACAAAATACTCAGCAAAAGGACCTTTTGCAGTACATGAAGTGGCCAACAGAATGAACTATAAGTTGAAAGTGGATGGGATGCCCAAGGTCTACCATGCCAATCTGTTGAAAAGGCACTTCAAGAGGGAAGAAGAGCTTACGGGTGCTGATATTGAGGTACAGATGGACATGGCAGGTGTGGCTGTCATAGAAGTAGAATCTGAAGACAGTGACTTTGTTATAGAAGATAAAGACCTACTAGACCCAAGACCACTGGGTGGAGATGAGATGTACAAGGATGTCAACATAGGTGAAGAACTGACTGGCAAGCAGAAGAAAGATGTAAAAGACCTACTTTGTCAGTATTCAGATAGATTAGGAAAGACAGACCTCGGGTAACACAAAATAAAGATGAGACAAGGGATCCTGTCAAGATGAAGCCCAATTGGAAGCCCTATGCGAGGAGAGGCCGACAAAAGCAACCATAAACGCTGGTGCAGACTATATTAGGAGACTTAGTGTATGAACTAAGAAGCTTTTGTATATAGTGTAAAAAATATTGTAAATATTTTTCTTGAAGAGAGGCTTATTGTTGGATATACAAGACTGTTTAGCACAATAGTTATTTATCTAGTTTATTTAGGGATTTAATATTTAATGAATATTTAGTTTTCATAACAAGTGTTCAAAGTTAATTATTTTAAAGCTGATAGTTATGACAAATTTCGTTGCATAACGTACATTGTGTGTGTAGTTCAAATGTAGTAGTATTATTGACGTCATTTTTCTTGAAACCTTTACGTGTTTCTCGCTATTTGAGTATTGTTACTTCATAGCGTCTGCTAGTTTGTAGAAAGTGCTAGTCCTTAGTTGGAAAATGTATACATATATATGCGACCAAGTGAGTGCAAGTCAAGTGAAGGAAGTTGGAAAAAGTTAAGTTCTTGAAAGTTTGTTTGTAATTAAGCACAAAGCTACACAATGGGTGATCTGTGCTCTGCCCACAACGGGTATAGAAATCCGGATTCTAGCATTGTAAGTCCACAGACATACTGCTGTGCCACTGGGGGGCGTTCTTGAAAGTGAAGTTAGACCGCATGATTATTAGTTTAGCTGTAACTGGCAATATTTTAAAGCGAGTTTAACAGAGATAAGGAGAATAATGTCTTGTCAAAGGATGTTCTAAAGTAATTGAACCCAACTGTGTGGACTTTTGACAAGAAAAGAGAATTATTTAGTTTTAGATACTTTGATATCCTGTAGTGTAAATAATTTTTGTTATAAAATTGACTTGTTTTGAACACATTATTTCAAATCAAGTGGATTGTGTGCTGTCTGTTTATTGTTTGAATTTATCGCCAACAAGTCACAGACACCTATTGTAAAGAATCCAAGCCCATATACATAAAACCCTGACATCAACTAACGATTTTTTAATACATAAACACATTAACAACTAATGTTATAGCAAAATTAAACAACTATGTAGGGCTAACTACTGAACTTGAAAAAAAAACTAAACAGAGCAGAATAAGCCATTTCAACTTTACATGGAGAATAAAGTCCCTACATTAGAATACTACTTTTATGACTATTTTACAATAGAGTAACATTTTCTAATTGGAAATTCTGATTCTATTTGTTTTGCTAGTAATGTAGCAATTTTATTTTCCATATAAAGTCGAGACGGCTTAGTCTGTTATATGATCATCAGAGGAATCAAGTGATATGTCTACTTCTATCCCTCTCATATTTGGTACCTTTTTTTCTAGTTCAGTAGCCAGCCCCACACAGCTTTTTTATTTAGCGATAATTTTTTCCCAATACTAGTTTACTTACTGCTAGAAATAGGTAGGTGCTAGGCCTGTTGAGGAAAGCTGATGATGAACAAAAATAAAAAATTTCAATATTGGTTATTCGCTGGTCTTTGACTTTGGGATGCTCTATGGATAGTTGAAAAGCAGCATATACACCGGACATACAATGCAGGTAGCTCTTTATATCTAGCTTCTGATGATTCGTAGAGAAGAAAATCCAGACGACTTGTGTATTGCTTTAATACAGAAGTCCACGCAGTCCCAATACAGTGCTAGCTCACTCTCTGGTGGTCCTGATTCTCTTGCCCATTTCCCATGTAATATGTACAGTATTTTTAGTTGTCTTTTATTCATCATAGTGAATCTATTTAGAGAATATGTAGTAATGATGCTAGTAATAGATAGATTAGGCTTCATATTTATTTATAGTCACGTGCTTGTTTAGAATGTCTAAATAACAGGATGGGGAATGGGTAACTTGGCCATAAGGAGGGTTCTACCACTCCCTTGCTTTATGCCAAATCTACTATCAAAGGATTATTCCTGGGAAGCGATATAACAATATTTAGATTTAAAAAAAACTTACAACTAGCTGGAATTAACAACCCATAATATTTAAAATACTGTCCATTGGTAATAATAAAAAAAACGTACTATACAACGAAAACAAGAATAATGTCATTCATGTATTTCTGGATTTTTATACTTCAACATGATGTGCTTCCACTATACATATGCATATATTTAGTATTCTTCTGGGTAATTTTTGTAATAGAACAATGTGGATAAAACTGTTTTGCTGTATTCAATGGAAACTTAAGACTTTTATGTTCAGTAAAAAAACAATTTTATTTAGTTATAGTGAAATGGTTAGTAGTGCTGGGTGATTAACTCAATCAACTATGAGCAGGTATTATGTCGATTAGTGTCATAAAACCATCAATTGATGAATATTATGATTATATCTACCAACATTTTGAAAATAATCAAAATTAATGTTTTTGATTATTATAACTACCCAAATAATCGAAAAGTTACCATTATGATTTAGTATTTTTAATTAAATCAAGATTGTTATATTTAATCGACTACTGTCACAACTCATAAAAATAAGTAAACCGGTTAGTGTTTTATATTGTTATTAAATTCATTTATTCAAACTATCCAAGTCTCACGAATGAGAACAATCCATTAATTGAATGTAATTGATTAATGAGCCTAATGATTAATCAATGAACAAATTTCACTGAACACCCAGTTCTTTTTTTGATTTAATATTGAATGGTAAGATAATTTTCTGTACTACTGTGTTTAAGTATAATAACTGATACAGATGTATATTCACCCGATTCATTCTTGAAGGAGGAGGCTTATCTTCTGAAAGTGCACAGAGTAATCAGGTTCCTTATTTTGCAATTCATTTAATTTTTGATTCCCATGACTTTTTTTAGAATTATGGATATAAACATAATATCACACATCTAAAGCATATAAAATATCTACTGTTATCAGCAGTAGAAAAAAACAACAACGTTACAACCAAGATGAACAATCTACTTGTGTCGAGACATATTATTTTATGATCTGTAAGAATAATTAATTGTACTACATATACAGTTAGTTATTAGGTTGGATCTCACTTTATTATTGTTTTCCCATTTACATATAGACTGAAGTACTGATATAAACATTTTGACAGATGCTTCTCATCGAGTTGTTTTATTATGTGAATAGATAAAAAACAAACTATAATTTATAAATTAAACTATGAGTACTGGATAGCTTGTAAGAGAGCTATTCAATACAGAATAACAATTATCCAGACAGGAAAACATTCTACTCAAATTACTAAATGAATGGTAATGAAAAGGTTCAATGTGATTAATTTATAATTCTTCCAAATTCTATAAATGGCTTTTTTCCATATGTGACAATCATTCTCAACTTGTTCTCAATGAAGACATGGGTATTGTGCTGAAAAGGGGAAACATTTGCATGATAATCCCAATACTTTTAAATATTACACTTGAGTGTCTTCAAAAAAAAATATTTACAAATGGTATATAACATGGAAACTATTCTATTTTAGGATTAGAAACTATTACATTTACAGTATCATTATGATTTATAAGCATCAGTCTTCAAACATACAAATTTCATAACTTACTCAATACACGTGAATGATAAAAAACTGATACTTTTCAATTTTAAAATACCATTTAACACAAGTACATGAATAAAACTAACAGACATAAAACAAAATAATAACAGTTAACCCG